CTCATTCATTGTTTTTGCCGCCCTGGGTCCATGTCCCTGACTTTGCTGATGCCCGAGACATTTCCATTCTCTGCTGGATGCTGACCAAACATGATACGATTTTGTCTTGATCATTCATGCCCCACATTTCTTCCCCAGCTGAGCAGCAGAAAGCATTATCCGGTATCTTTGTGGCTTCTCCGCTGTGTGTTATTACTCGCTTTGCTAGAAGTTGGATTACAGAGATTGTCCTTGCAGAACCAGGGGAAGGAATTACCAAGCCTTGTACCCTGCAGCATGGCAAATTTGAGGCACTTCTTTCTTAGGGGATATACTTATCTGCACAGTTGCTCTCATAGTAATTTGGCTGCTAATTCTGAGTTATTCTTTGGAGGAGGTTCACTGATTCCTACTTTTCTGCCATGTAAAGTTTCACACTACTGCTAAGCTTGCCTTGACAAAATAAAGTCTAGTGACAAGATTAGAATATACCACTGTGTAGTAGACTATTGATGTCTTGGATTACTGTTACCATATAAGCAAAACCAGTGGTTATTTTAGTGCAATGAATGGACTTCAAGATAAGGCACTGTGTATGAATAAAGGGAAAATTAAGAGTGTTGAGAAAAGAACCTACAGGAGCTCAGACAACTAGCAGATTGCATTTGTTGTGCTGTTGGGGAGTGTGCTGGGTGGTCAGTGCTGCTGCTTGGAAAACGTGTGCGTATGAAAACCTTTCCTTGGTAGTGCTGCACGTTCACCTTCTAAGCAGCGTGTCTGAAAGCATACCCGTTGCCTTCTGGTAAAAGCAAGCAAGGCTTTTGAAAGACGGCACTGTTCTGATGCTGGCAAATTGTTTGCATCCTTATTGCTGTTGTATTCCTTTTCTATTTAGCGAGATACATGTCCTACCATGAGAGAGCAGTTACCAGTTCTGGAGTAGTCAACAAGATAGTGTGCATGCTTGTAGCTGTTAGGAAAAAGCCTGAAGGTATTTTTTCACTGACAAAAATAACAAGGATCTTTTTCTAGCACAGTAAATAGGGTATTTGGCTTTTTGTTACTTCAAATCTTCATCAGTGCAAGAGCTAACTGCAGACTCATCTACTGCTAATGTTTTCCTCCGCTAAGAGGATTAGGATCAGTTCATCAATGCAAGAAAGTGTGTTGGGCTGGTGTTAGGGGATCCAAGGTAAGAGACCAACCTCGGGTAGGGAGGAGGTATGGGAGGTGCATTTGTACACAGATCATATTTTGGCCTTTAGAAGGCTAACTCAGAACTTTATAGAAAAAGCATCTTCCCTTGGACCAGCAGTGACAAGTATTTTTCAGAAGCAGCTGGGATTTCTTCTGCTTCTGTCGGTACACTGTGATGTCTAAAGAAAATGCTCATAGGGTTTTTGGGCTCCTTAGTTAACAATGGGGACAGTGAAGGCAGTAGTTTCATCTTCATTATTAGAAATGAGTTTAAAACAATCCAGAAGGCTACTCTACAAAATTAATGCCAAAATAGCAGTGGATGCAAGCCGTGCTTAATGATGTATGCCTATTGGAATATACAGTGGCTGAGTTCGCAAGTCTATCTAAATGATTCAGCAACAAATGTTTGTGGACTTCTTTTTGTACTTCATTTGTGGCCAAGTCTTTAAAAGACTTGGTACCGAGGCATGTATTGATGCAGATAGGCACTAGATTCATAGGTATCTTTAAAACATCTGATCTTTTGAAAATTCTTGGGTTTAACAAGAAAACCAGTAGAGAAATTGTGAAGAGAGACTGGTAGAGAATGGTGAAATTCTGAGGCGTGAATGATACCAGGGAGTATCACTGTGAACAACAAAAAGTTGAGCCACAGTATCAGCTTTTCAAATGACTTGCAAGTTAGAGCCTTGCATGGTGACTTTGTTGTGCAGAGGCCCAGGTGAGGGCTCTGAACTGTGCTAGTAGTGATGTTTCAAAACTTGGGCAAAGAGCAGCAGAAAGCCTGTTCCTGCATGCAGAGAGGTCCCTGAAAATAGTGAAAAGCTAGCAATTACATCATTTGGCAACTTCTGCCCTAAATACAGTAAGGAAACCTCCCCCTTTCTTCATACAGTTTTGAAGTGTGAAGGTGATACGTTATTTTATTCTTTATATAGTGACACTTTTTCTTTATTATTCCGTAGATTCAACCAGTTATTGATCAAGTCTTCTGTTTTTCTGAAGTTCCAAAGGCGTTTCTGAAATTGGAGGGAGGACATGCACGTGGGAAAACAGTGATCAATGTAATTAGTGAAAAATAAAGTATCTCTAGTCATTATTCTGCCCAGTCAGTCCTTTACTGGTAAATTACACTCGAACATGAATTGGTACGTAGCAACTGTTTGTTCTTAAAAAGCTCACACAGGATACATGATGTTTAAAAGTCTCGTTTTAGAAAAAGCCTCTTTGCTTCCTCCATACTCTGCCTGTTAATAACTGTTAATATGCAGACAAGAAATACTAATGTCCCTTAGACATTTCTACATGAAGAATGTAGTTGTGACATTTGCAGAACACACCTCATGTTTGGGGTAAGAGGAACAGCTGGCAGCATTGTCAGTTTGTAGCTTTTATCGTCCAGCTGTTCTAGCTAAGTCCTGAAATGGTGAGGCACACTTTTATCTACTTGTCCATGTGAAACTTGTGCTGTCCCTTTTTCCTTGGCCTTTCCTAGTTCTGTTCACCTTTATTAATATATATTACTACTCAATCTAGTTCATTCTCAGAACCTGTAAACTTTTCCTTTGTAAAGCGGTCACATTAAGGTTCTGGTCTTGAGACAGCAATCTTGATACAGCAAATCTCCTGTGGCATAACTAACTAATCTGAGTAGAAGCATGGAACAAAATCAATCTGTAACTGATAATTATTCTAATTGCCTAACTCCTGGCACAGATTCAGCTGACCACAGTGTTTATGCAGGAATTTGTCAGTAATCCGAAGACCTCATTCCTGCCATGCCCTCTGTCACTGCTGGTGGGGGTGAAGTGCTTGAGGGGGTATGTGTCTGTTGGTCTGTTTTCAAACTTACCAGTTTGCCAGAGATGGGCTAGGGAGCGACTTCCCCTGCAGTTACACAGGTAGAGTGAAGGAAAGTGGTAACCTCTCAAATGAGAGCTGCACATTTACTGTGTGGTGAGGCTACGGTGATGGAAAAACCATGTCATGCAGTGCTTCCACCAGGGAACATGTACAAATACACTGACCACGTGCTTGCATAGGAGAAGCATCCATTCCTCAGAGCCTGCAGCTCTTCCCCACCACGTATTCACTCCTCATTAGCTAGCTGTCACAGAGGAATTGGGGACAGTTGAAGGGCACAAGACAAGCAAAACTAACTGTAAAATGTCAGCTTTCTACCTTCAAAAATAATTTCAATAAAAAGTTACCTAACTTAAATTTATTTGTAAAATGCTATATTATATATAGCAAGAGCACATCAGTATGACAAAGTACCACTGTTTGGAACCAATAACAACACATTTTCTACGAAGAACTAAAAGCAGCACATTTCAGAGCAACAAAACTTCAGTACGTCTGTACAAAAGGAAGAAAATTAGTAAGGCACTTCCTCTAGGGTGGTAAAACTAAAAGCACCAGTATCCTTTGAGGCAATACAATAGTAATGAAAATGTTAATTTTAAACAGACTTACTATGCAAGACAAAGGCCTGGATGCTCCTAGGAGCAGCTTGTAATAACACTGGTCTAAGCCAGAACAACACACAGCAGCATAGTACAAGACTTTGTATTTTACCTTTTTGCCAACATTATTACAGAAAACTAACAGAACCAGGTGAAGAGCAGGGCAAGAAGCAGCTCCTGCAGCCATTAGCTTGTCTTACTTGTCACAAGGTCTTTACTAAACCAGTAATGCTTACTTTTAACGGGCACAGCCCTTGTTACTGGGCACGTATCCAGGCTTGGCTGTGCCCCTTACTAGAGCAGGCTGACACTTCTGCCCAGCAGCAGCCAGGAGCCAGCAGCCCACCAGAGACGCTGCCCTCCAACATCACCAGAAATACTTGGGAGTCTGGCATTCTCCACAGTAAACCCAACAGGCACTGGCCAAAAAACTTTGTAACCACAGTGCTCAGGTGCTGTTTCAGTCATCTTTTGTGATACTTTCCCTAAGAATTCTTGTTTTCTATATGATTTTGGAGTTCAGGAAGATGGAACTTACTGGAACTGTTTTAAAAGCTAAAAATTTGACTTGGCAAAGAAGTAAAATACCCGTAACTCAAAAAGTTAGGCAGCCTAGAAAATGGGCAAGTTCTTCACATTCCGATGCATCCTTTTGCCAGCCCTCTCTTTTTTCTAACAAACACCTCATTTCTCTCTACATGAGAAAACTAGAATTTTTTTCTTAATTTAGGACTTACTATATTAGCATACTAACTATATTTGAAGCCACATGTTAAAAATTTTTTGGTTGTGCTGCATGCTAGCAGTCTTTAAACCTGCAGTAAACAGAAGTTTGTTCCAGTGAAACAAATATATTAATTTCCAGTAGTAAATATTTCTCTATACTACAGCCCATAGGTCCAAGTTGCTATACCCACATACACACTGCACTCCTGTCCTTTATAAAATAAGTTTTAATTATTTTTTAGCCCTTCTCTCAGTTAAAAAAAAAAAAAATAATTTAAAGTTATGCTTATTGACTATTCTGGATTAACTACTCACTGACACAAGTGTAACTCCATGGGGTCTCTCCCACCTTTAGTTCTTCCACTCTAGCCTGAGGCATACCACCACTCTCAATCTCACATTGAGTTGTGATGATTTAAAAAAAAAAAACAAAAAACCAAACCAACCCTCAAGCTTTTATAGGGATAATAATCTTAGAGAGGTGAAATCATTCTGTTGCTTGTTCTTTTTAAAATTGCAAAGAAAAGGCAAAACTCTCGTCGTTGATTCTGTATCCTTCAGAGATGGCAGTGCCAATTCTAGTGTCTGGAAGAGTGGCTAATTCAAACATCATCTTTTGGTCGTTTGGGTTTATACAACTAGTGGTTCCCAACACTGCGTTGACTTTTCTTCGTTGACTGTGTTGACAACAACATGGTCACGATCGTATTGTGCACCCCCTGTAAAGAAAAATTTCAGAAAGTGTAGATTGCATTTGAAGTAAAAGACATGTACTCTACGTTTCAGGGCAACTCTAGTAAGTGCTGGTGCAGACAGTTTCTCTTCTCCCCAAGGCACTGAAAAGACAAACTCATTTTAATCACTGCTTGCTTTTGGAATTAATTTTGAAACAAGGGAGCCTGCCTGCTCTTCTCCACCCCTTCAAGAATTCAGTACCTCAGCTTTTTCAGCCTGGATGGAAAAGGAAGGAAACACTGCAATACAGTCAGGTGTAGCTCCTTTAAGACTGCCACTTCCCAAAAGTTAAACTTGGGTGTTTAGTTTCCCCTCAACAGTTGTCACTTTGCTCTAAAGATGTTTATACAATGAAAGAAGTCCTGCTGCTAACAGACAATATGAGCATGATCACGCCAGGGGCAAGGTCTGGTACTCATTTACTCTCTTAACTTTACAGTCCTGTATTTTGAGCAGCTGCATCACGATTTGCCATACACAGAATATCGCCCAATGTTCAGCTGTTTCCACTGGCAGCTGAACATACCTGAATGCAAAACCTTAGAGGGGCTTCATTTACTCACGTGATGCAACGCCAAACACGTTCCCATAGAAGAGCACCATTAGTACTCTGACTTAAGAAACTCAAAAGCGAAGAAACGTTCGACTAGAGCTGAAAGTCAGAACTGACATTTTTTTTCTCAGGTTCAGGACATACTGCAGAAGCGTAGGAGACGTGCATCTCATGTAGGACAACTCGCCTGCAACAGCAGGTAGTATTCCCACTGGAAGCAGCTATCTGAGCCAGCCATTTATACAGAGCACCAGGACACTCCTATGGACACCACCTTTTCCTTCTGCACCCCTCTAGCCTCTCCCTCCCCGAATGAGCAAAAGACAAGCTTGGCAGCTGAAAGCTTGTGATGAGTGCAACAAATATGGGTTCTAGCAGATCTCAGAAAGGAATATCCTAGGCACCTGGAGTCCTGCATGGGCAGGCACATTTCAAAGCAGCTCCTTTGTACTGAGGAAATGCCATCTCAAGCACCTTAGCTGTTCTCTGCTTTGGGAATTTGAGGGAGGCTTTCTGGTGCCAAATGAAAAAGGTGTCTGAGAAGGGTAACACCAACATGATTTCTCTCCTTGCCATCACCAGGCAATTACTAAAAAGCAGTAGAGATACACAGCAGAAATATTTGTGAAGTTCTTCAGAAAGAGGGGGGAGAAAGAAGGGAATACCAGATCAAATACTCCCACAGGAAAAAAACCCAAAAAATGACATTAGCTGCATAGTTCAGTTACCAGTGCAAGCGCAAAAAGTATTTTGTAAACAACATCTGATAGAATGTAAACATGCCATAATGGGAAAAGATGGGATTTCTTTCAGTGGAACAAGAGACTATTTACTTTGATAGAGTAATGCTCTGGACAAAGCTTTGTGCTATGCCAGTACATCCACAAGGTGGCATTGGTAACTGCTCAGCTGAACAGTTCATTAATGCTCAAGTTGCGGTCAAGAACGGATCAGCAGAATTAGCAGAAACAGGTAATGTTCCTACTAGGCTTTCTCAAATAAAAGCTAGATGTACCTACTCTTTCATATTTACCATACACACCACACCTATCCATTGTGAATTATAAATTCAGAATAAATTCAATTATAAATGCAGAATATATAATTGCTTTTAACATCATTAACTGAAGACAAGGCAGCGTAACAGTATTTCTGTTTGTTTGGTGCAACCTGGAATTGACTTTAGAAAAAGGTATGCAGGGTCATTGTAACTAAAGACTCTCCCTTGACCTGGAGTCTTTTTGATAAGTTTCTAATTAATCATCACTAGCTTTTTATGGCAGTGAAAAGAATTTGTGACTATTTGTGCCAGTGTTGTATTATGGTCAGACATTCAATAACTCTTTTCTCACAGTTCCAATAGTCCTCTACATTTTAGTTCTAAAGTACTGACTGTTGACGCTGATATTTTTCTTTTTTTTTTAATTGCCGTAATTAATGTCACAGCACCAATGTAAAATTAATTTTAAAACAGCTAAAAAAATTAGCATCTGTAGAAAATGATTACTCCTCCCACCTGAAAAAGCAGAGTTATGTAAGGACATCTGATTATGCTAATTCTGCTAATAATTCAGTTTGTTGCTTTTTCAGACCTTCAATGAAACTATGAAAACAAAGTTCAGAAACAGTATCTACATGCAGCAAATTGCTGTGACAAAAGCAACTGTAAAACACTCATCAAGTGTGCACAGACCATATGCTGCTATGGCAGAATCTCATGTTTGTAATAAAAGTAGAGCCATTAATAAACAGATGAAAAAGTTTTTTATATCTAATCACATCAGTGTGCAAGCCTGCCTTTGCTTTCCTAATATCCTTTGGCTATTGCATCTACAACTACTATGTAAGAAAATTCGCTCTATACAAATTAAAGTTAATAAGAAGCTAGGTTTTTCTTGCTTCAGCATTTTCAATAATTATATTCGCATCATCCAGTGCCACATAAAATTAACTGAGGATATCTACAGTGAGTGGACACTGGGAATACAAGATAAGCAAGTACTGTGACTTAACTACACTCTATGTAGGAAAAATTAAATTAAGTCCTAGGGCCTGTATAATTCAGGAGGTCAGACTAGCTAATCGGGTCTTTTTTGATTCTAGATTAAAGTAACTATAACACCATCCTTAATTTATAGGCACGTTTAGTACCTATCCCACTGTAAATACCATGTAATTACGACACAATGTAATAAGATAACACATTTGCTTACCTTTGATATCTAAAACCAGCTTGGGTTTCATCTTGCTATAAATCCTGCCATCGGGACTAATATGCCAATATTGTTTGTCTTCATTCCGCTCAAATGACAGACCGAGTTTAGAGCCAGGAGTTATAAGATTTCCAACAATTGTCAAGCAGCAATCTTCTGCCATCTGTATCATCAGAAGGGCAACAGCAATTATTCAAAAGGCCTTAGTTCTAGTATCCACTGGTTTTTAATAAGATAGGAGAGACGTCAGCAGGTAAGAATGGAATCTAGGAACTACTTTCCCTAAAGGAATGTATTTTTGCCCCAAACTCAAGACTACTTATTTTTCTTTTGTTCCCGTTTCTGCTGACACCCTCCACTACATAAAAGCATTAAAATAACCACGCTGTATCAGCTCAAAAGGTGCAATTAGCACCTGCCTCTAGCAGTGGCCAATAACAGATGCCACGGAAGATTACATTCACTCTGCTCTTGTATGCAGTGCGTTCCTGGCAATCCCTCCCAGGCGACAGCATTTTCCAGCCCAGAGACTTTTCCATGCAGAGCTGGTACCTTTAATACTTGGATGGTTTCTGTCCCGTATGTGAATTTGTTAGCCACTACCCACTGAGATCAATGTAACCCTTTCACATGAACACCCTTCTGTATCATAACCCTTCTGTGGCTAGCAGTTCCGAATCTTAACGACGACTATTAAAAAAAAAAATTGATAGGCAACTACTAGTTTTATTTGATGCTCTCCTCACCCCCTTCACCTCCCTTATTTTAAGGGCTGTCTCGTCCACACTATGTTTGCAGAGACTTCAATCATATTGTCCCTCAAGCTGCTCCCTTTGCAGGCTAAAAAGTCCTAGCTATTTCATCTCTTCCTCGCCTAGAAACCCTCCATCTCCTCTGTGCATCCATTTTTTGTTCTTTACTTGCTTCTAGAACTGCAATAACCTTTTGAGATAAAGAACATAACTGCACAGTATCGAGTGTATGAATTCTACAGTGTATCACAGTAATATTTTCTTCTTTGTTCTATATTCTTTAGAATTTCTAGTCATTTGTATTGCTTGATTTCAAAACTCTGCAAAAGTCTTTATGATTAAAAAAAGAACTGGCAAAAATCAAGCTTACTTGAAAAGAATATTAAGGCTCTATTAGTTGTACATGACAGTTAATTATTCTGTGTGAACAGTGATTTTCAACAGATCACCATAACTTGCAACTTCTGAATGGACTTCAGTGGCAGATTAAACACCCATCTGCCATTGTGGATATGGCCATGAATTATTAAATACACAGTTTTGAAAAAGTAGCGCTTCTTACCATCTCAGTCTAGAATTGAATTAGTTCTGCAGTTACAAAATTCTCATCTGTAGCTAAAAATGTGCTCTAGTGGGACTTGGAAGACTCAGAGCTACACATTAGGTCCACTACACCACTACTTCACCCATCTCCAAGAAACTCATGAAGAGTGAGGAGACCTGAATTCATAGCTGCTATTCGTATCTATTTCTGACAAAATGAGCAGAATGACTTTTATAACCTGCTTAGTGGTTATCTCATTTATCTAAAAGAGCGCTTCCTTGAAAACTTCAGGCATAACTCAAGATACCATGACTCAGTCAGTGAGATGACCTAAGCTTACAGGAAGAACGGCACAAGTTCTTCCAATGATCCATGTCTGCCTGTGTGCACATACCTTCCGCCCCATGAGCTTAATTTTCTTTTTAAAACGTGGTGAAAAACAATTTTTTGTGCAAAACACATTTACTGCCACTCAAGAGAAAGATGGCAGAGCTCTGCAAGAGTTCAGTCATTCAAGATCAATGTTGCCAGCTTGCACTCTGCACTAGGCTCCCTGATTGCACGAGCTGTGTATTTTCTATATACAGAAAAACTCCTATATGAGATATACAGAGGTGGGGACAAAAACCAAAAGCATTTATCCAAACCCATACAATACAACACACCGTCTTGATATGAATACCTTCAGTGAACTGTTTGAGAGGCACTGTCAAGAGAGAAGTCTTTTGTATGCAATATTAAAGCTTTTAGCTTACTTGGCATCATTTTGCTGTCTGCATAAATCCCTTCTACTACTGCATTGTGTCCTGTAAACATGCCCAAACAATGCATTAGCTTATTAACAGTAAGATTCTTCCCTCCAGCATAGATGACATAGTTATAAATGGCTCCTTTGAAGTTATACAGTCCTATAGAAAAAGTTCACATGATTCTTTGCAGTCAAGCTGTTTAACAGTATTAAAGTAACTTAATTTTCTTTGGCCAGCATCCCTACCTAAGACTGTTCATGCTTAAACATTATGAACCGTGCATACCTCTGCTCACCTCAATGACAATTCACACATGATTAGTTTTATGGACTGTGAGAAAAGTAGGACTTCATTTGGAAACTTTTACTGAGGAATGGAAAAGGGATAAATTTGACAAGTATAGGGATAACCAGAAAACAAACAAACAACCCCCCCCAAAAAACCCAAAAGAGTAGGACTTGATCTTTAAGCTTGCCTGAATGCAGAAGAGGTTATAACCTACATTATACTAACTGACCTACCGCAAGGAATGCGTAGTTCAAAATACTATCAGGAAGGGTCTGCATTTTAAAAGGTCTCTTTCACTGTGGAGAAAGCGGGCGTGGAAGTGGAAGTTGCTCATGAACAGCAAGACAATGATCTTCTGGTGTTGATCGTACTTATGAGGTTACTATTCTTTAGGGGAAAAGTAAATCATAACTAAAATGTCTCAAAATTTCAATTACATCAAGAAGGTATTATAGAACTAGTTTGTATCACCTGAAAAAGCCAGAGTTCAATTTAACAAGGGGAAAAAAAACACCTACAAAAATATTATATTACAGCTGAAATGGAATAAGATGTTACAGTACAAGTTCAATTCAGAAAGCCCTACTACTGGAGCAGAAAAGAGAAAATTCACATTGAACTTGAACCTCACCCGGCACCTTATGAATCCATCCTGATAAACCCAGATTTGATCATCTGAGTCTGTGTCTTCTGCAACTTGTATTCTGAGAAGATTCAAATTGTCTAAGTTTCCATCAGCTGACATGAATTTTCCTGTTTCCTTGTTTCGAAGCCTGAAGTACACACGTTTCTGCAGAAAACAACAGAACTCTTTAAACACAGTCTCAGCACAGAACACGTCCTGATCTGGATAACTTCAGAGCAATTACTGATCGTTGCCGAACCACGTGCCTCCCTCTTTCTTTCAGAAGGCTTAACTTTTCTATTTTAGAATTTCATTCCAAAGTCCACAGATGTGTACGAGAAGCCACCCTTTGAGAACCTGCATGCAGAATGCAGGGTTTTAGGCCTTCCTATGAGATCAGCACACTGTGGAAAGCGAAGCATTTTTAATTCAGAGAAGCACTAACTCTCTCTTGCTAACTTCTTGGATAGATGCTCTTAGCTTTCATTAAGGGTGCACTTGTGCAGTGCTGCTTATTTCACTGGCAGCAAGTATGACACTGCACATTCATGCTGCAGCTTGTTACACATTGCTGTTTAGACAAGCTCTCAGCCAGGGCAGTCAAAATGCATTATTCCTAACTCTGCTTACGGCTATACAAAGCCAACGCTCTGACAGCAAGCAAATGCATTTCATTACAGGTACAAGTGATCTGTGAATTTGAAAAAATTGTTTCCTCGATAAAATATGGCTCAGCAAGAACCTCAAATGTTAAAACTCACAGGACTGCTCTAGCATTGGACCAGATCATCATGGTCCTTATTTAGAGAACAAAATGAAAAGGATACCACAAGAGTAAGTTTTGCATTAGATTTGAAAATTACTCTGCCAAGTAATAAGTGGGGAAGGACCCTCTCCCCCTAAACCAACACAAAATCACTACTAATTTAAGTATCTGATTTTGCTGACCGGTTTTTTTGTTGTTCCAAAAATAATGCAGATAGTAGAGACAGTACGCCAGTGACCAGTTTGGGTGCTAATTATAAAACAACTGAAAATAACTTATATATAGTAGTTATAGCCATTATTTGTGGAAATAATTTAGCCAATCCTTATATGCTGTCATCTATACTTTGGTTTAAAGTATGTTTAATGAACAGTTTAAGCAGTAGAACTGCAAAGCCATGTAGCATAACCAAATAGCTTTCATTACAAGCAAAACAGTAGAGCTATTTCTTTACACAACTGCCACTGCTGAAGCTTGTGACATGCATCAAGACTGTAACATTGCTTTCAACTCTACTGTATCCCCCCAGCCCCATGACAAAATATAAATTAGCACTTGACAATCTCATGTGAGAGCCTACTCACCTGCAGTAAAGGTCTCAGAGAACCAATCTGACAATAACCACTCGCTTTATACCAATCTGGAATTTCATTCGGTGATAACAACATCTGACGTCCCCTGTAATTACTATGTTCATAAATTATCCATCTATAAGAAGAAAAAAAAAACAGACAGAATGCTTTTACTGACAAATCCTGCGTTGGAATCAGTAAACGGGCTTAATAGACATCTGTCCCACAAAGTAGTGGCGTTTAGCTTTGGGAAAGTCAATGACCTTCTTTTTAACAGGTCTTCAAAAATAATAAAATCACATCCTGATTAAGATGAGTACAATGGAGATCACATTTTAAAGCACTGTTATTTAAAAATTACAAGCTGAATGAGACAAAGCATTTTCTTGCCTTAAAGGGAGAACTCAATTTTTAAATATCATCTGTTTTCAGGAGGTAATGTGACTCCTCAAGGAACATATATGTATATGCTACATGTGCTGTATATGCTAGATTGCTGCATGTGCGTATCTTAATTTGGACAGGCCTGACCCATATGGGAAAGAACTACTAGGGATGCAGATTGCAACGAGCAAATACTGGAACTGCAACAGGGTGAAGTTCTCTAGGGTATTTTGATAGAGGTTTTATTTCAGAAGACCTTTCTTCTTTCCAAATACCTGGAAGGGGGTGGGGGTGGGGGGAAAGAGAGAAAGAGAAAAAGCATATAGGAAAAATTTTGGTTTGCATTCCCTAGCAGACATCCAACCACGCTTTCAATCACATTGAGAGCAACCTGTCAGAACCTGACTTTTGCTTCTCTATTGGCACAGGCAGTGAATTACACTTTGAAATAGGCTGAAATACAGTGCAATTTGTTGAGTTTTCTCACACTGATTTGCTGGGACTGTCCAATAGCCATAGATTTCCGAGTACATGAACACTCAGCACACAGATTTTCCTGTTACCTGCTTTCCTCTGACTGATTTGTCAGTAGACATCTATATCCAGAAGCAGCACACTCACCTGAATTTTGGTGCTTTTTCACAGCCTAATACACATCTATCCCTAGGTATGAAATTAGGAGTATTATAAACAGATGTGTCTTAGCAAAGGAAAAGAAGATGAAAACCCCTTGAATAAGGGAGGCAGTAGGGGCACGGACGCTCTGAAACCTGTATTTTGACACATTTCAGCAGCTGACACTGCTATAATGAAATCAGAATTTTCATATCATGCTCTATACCTTTCCAGTGATCAACCAGGAAAAAAAAAAGTATATTCATCAGACAGCAAACACGCACAATTCACAACTCCAGTACCTGGAATCACGCTACCCATGTTCTTGGCAAAGAAGTAAGCTCATGTTTGACTTCATGTTATTTCACATTATGGAAAGTGAGAATCAACTATATTGTGGTTATGGTGAAAGATACTGAAATCTCAGGAGACTTAGGAATATGGAGCATGTACCTTTTCTTATGACATTTATGTTTCAAACTTCAGTTCAATGTGCTAAGGAAACCCTTTGACCAGCTTATCCAGATGGGGAAAATGGTTTGCTCTACAGATTTGGTCCCAGGTATCCACTTGAGGGCAGTCTTAAGCTATCCGACAGCATCTCTCTAGCACACACCTTGGAAATTTACCTCTTCTAAAGAACACATTTAAATGCAAAGCAACAGTAGCATGGATCTTTTGTTAAAAAAAAAAAAAGCTCACATTCTTCAAGTTGGAAAAAAACCTGAACATATACTTGGGTCAAGTATCTTGGAAGTAGAGGTTGACAACAGGAAAAACACAGAAAGAGAAATTTAACAGATCTGCTGGAACACTGGAATAAGATGGTACAGTAGTTTTCAAATGCTTCCAGGCAGTTTTTAAACTTCACCACATACTATTTTTTTACATGATCTTCACAAGTAAATTTAGAGAACACAACTGCTTAAAAATAGTTAATGAATTTAACCGCTAGATTTACAACCAAGAGTCTGACCCAATTTCTGAAGTAAAAGGGATTATTACTAATGCCAAAAGGGGCCAGATCATGATCTGATTGTACCAGTGTCCATAGCATCTAGGTAGAAGCATGAAAGTGAAGACTTATGACAACATTTTGAACTTACAACCCAAAACACAGATCACAAACTGAACATGGGGTTTTTTTTATGATTGAGAACTAAACCAAGAGCACAGAAGTTAGTTTTAAGGATGCTATGCAAGCTGGCTTTTATAATACGGCATGAGAGAAGACACTAGTTTCCTTGTGAGCTTTAGTCAGATTCATTTCAACTTCTAGCACAGGGCACCAGTCAGTGATAACGTGCTGTTCAAACAGAATGTGAAAAGGTTCTGTAAGAAACTGCATTAATGCACTGCACACATTATGATATTCTAATCTTATACTCTTTTGCTTCTAACACCTGTAATTTTTCTGCTGAGTAAGTATATCATTCTAAAGAATCAAAAAGCAACTTTAAACTTACACGCCGCCAAGGACTTGAATTGAAGCTATTCGAGGATTATATCCCAGGAACTGGAGATTTAAGATTTCTGTACTGAATTCGATTTTCTTTCCTTGGAAACCCACCTTTTCAAAAAGAGCTATGCACGGCTCAGACAGCTCCTGCAAGAGGAAGACGAGCACTTTTACAGGATGTTAGAACTCCAGATGGTGACTGTGAACACCATTACTCCACACAGCCCATTTATTTCAGAGGCTCTTTCTTGATTGTTTAAGAACAAAGACCCCAAATAATGTTCTTGCTCTGCAACAGGTTACTTAAAAAAAGTAATAAAATGCTCTTATACAAAACACAAAAGGGATCTTCCTGCATTGACCATAAGACTTCCTTATCTTAAGGCACATACAAAATGTCTCTGTGGTTGATTCTTGCAAATATCTTAAGTATGCTTTAAAATAATTTTAATTAATGCCATATCCCTCTTCCGTTGCATTAAACCTCACACATTGTAGGAATTTTCATCTTCAGACCTGAACACCCAGTAACATAATGTTGATTTCTACAGCTTCAAATGATGACAGCCTTGTCAGCACTGCTGATCATTTACTGCTCTCATTTTTAACTCCTATAGTAGGTTATGGCAACATCAATCTCTGACTAGACAAAAACTTCACGATTCATACTTCTGAGATGAAATTTATGACTCAAGGAAAAACTGTAACATCTGAATCCTCCAAATTGCTGTGGGGAAATGATTCTTCTCCCTCTACCAAAACACTTCTGGTCTCAAAAGGGATTCTGCCCACATGAAGCTCCCTGCATCACTGAATCCATTTTAAATGTCTTCTGGAAAACAAACCTTGGACTCTTTTCTGTGTGGCAAGGTATTTGTAGTGGACTGGAAATAACCTCTCACAATTAAGGCCTCTCCCTGGAAGCTGGGAGGTAATGGTTTGAAATCCCTCAGGGTAAAGTCAATTAAGACCAAGTGTCCTGGTGTTAAACAGTTTACGCTCATAGATAGAAATGACTCTGCCACTCCCTTTCTTGCAAGTCTTCCAGCAACGGCCGCATAAAACTAACGCCATAGCCAGAAGAGCTCCTTCCTGCTGGCATGTGCTCGGCATGCTTGAAACACATCAACTGGATCGGGAACGCCCGACATGACGCGAAGTCTCGACAGACTCCCATCTGGCCTCAGGCATGGAAACAGGCCCTCCAAGGCAGAGGTGGCTCCGTACACACATGGCAGCAGATATCCGTGCTTCCGTGTGACTTTGTTAGGCAAGACCTCATGTCTACCAATTTCTAGACAGTGCTTAAATTCCTCTTTAATCTTCCTTTAGATGTTTAAGGGCCCAGATGACAATGTTGCGTGAGCATCACCATTATCTCCACAGCAGTCCAAGTTACCGCACAGCAGCTGAGCTGTGCTTCCTGATGGCACGCACCCTGCTAGGCTGTGGAAAGCGCCAGGAGAGGCCTTTCAGCTTACTCAAAAATCAGAGTGCACTCATCCCCACCATGAAAGGTTAATACCAGTTAGGCTGTTATGTGTCTTCATGGGTAAAAAGCCCAACAGGAACAGTCCCCGTGTCTCTAACCCCTCAGCCCATTCACAGAGCTGCACTCTGAGACACACAACTGGTCAGGCAGCAGCCCTCGAGCCATATGCAATGCTTCAGAAATAATTTACTTACAAAGAAAACACACAGATAGAAAAGGAAATCCTCTAATTTTCTGCCACACCTTCCACTGTGGGCATTCTTTAGATTCAGCAGCAACACTGTTATATAAAATGCTCCCCACAGAGAAAACTGCAAGGTCAGCTCACAAGTTTTCTTTCAGTAGTTCCCATGTACTGCACTGTACAAAGCTGGTGCTCCTGTGTATCTACATTTAGTTATTTCACAGAGTTGCTCATTAAAAGGAAGTATTTTCAGCATGACTGTTCAAACATGAACCACATTCACGGTTGTTTTTGTAGTATGTTCAGGAAAAAAAATGTAGCAAATTCAAGAAGGAAAAATGCTATTTTCTATCTACAGCACAACCATGTGGACTGTGCAAAGCAAGCACGAACAAGCAAAGATACAGTGGTATGAAAAATCGAAAAACCTTCAGCATATGAGCAAAAGCCCTTTTGACTTTCACTTCCAAGTTTATCAAACATTCATTTCCTTTTTTTATCACCCCTTAGAAATGGATCCCTGCAAAGGGGAATTAAACTAGGTAAGTATAGTAACGTGACATACTAAAATAGCAAAGGTGCTTCTTGTATAGAAATGTCACAGAAAGATCAAGAGGAAAGTTATGGGAACAGCAGATGGTGGGGAGGAATTAGATTGGCACTGCTAAAAAAGAACAGTCCCAAAATAAATCTGACAGGTGAAACCAGTATCTAGAATAATAAGGTTTTGTAAAATTATGAAAAATGAATAGTATAATATGATAATTTCCACCTAACTTCATATTCTCTGTCTTCTGGTTTGCTAATAAACCGCTGAGCAAAGCAACCCATTTTCCTCTTCTCCACAAGTAGGAAGCCTCTGAAGGAGGCAGCAGCAGCACATGACTTCGCAGACAGATGCAGCTCCATGCTGCTGTCTGAAGTGTGACAAATTATAGGGCTAGAACAAGTTTCAGAAGTTACAAGAACTTAAAGAGGCACAGAACTGGCATTTGGCTGTTTTAACACAACAGTCTCTGTCACAAATAATAAATCTTCCACAAGCAAACTGATCCTTCCAGCTTGAAACAAGCATTTTGAACCCAAGAACTTGATACTGTCATGTACAAAAGAACCTATTTTGATTCACAGAGGTGTCCCACAAAGCTTGGCTAGAAACACTTCTATTGTTTTTAATAGGATCTGCCTACTGGACAGCCAAAGAGTTCAGAAGGCAGACATAGTTGCTGCAGATGTTTGTTTACACTGTACATCAAAATGCTCCAGAGACATGAAAGAGGATGACACATTTTAGTTCTCCTTCGTCAACTGCTACAGCACTGACAGGTTACCAAAATTATAGTGCAGTGCAATAAAGTTGCCAAATTCAAAGAAGAGAGTCAATAGTGTACTCCTCCTTTTTTAAAATGAGAACCATCTCTTCATATTGCCATAAGTTCCTGGATTCTTGACCACATTTTGCTAGTAATTACTTTGATCTTAAAAGATACTTGCAGATTCCAGGAGTGATCCATCATAATGATTGGTTATAGGCTTGAGCAAACTCATTCCTTGCCACTGTTGAGTTACAAAATATGTAAATGTTTTTTCGTTTGTATCCGCCACATGTAACACCACCGTCTGATTTTGCCAAATAGCATTGGGTGTTGCTTTACTTTATCTAGAAGGGTGCATTATTTCGTGATTAACTCAAATTGCATTTCCCTGATGATAGCAATAGTGTTTTATAATTACATGTATTTCATGCAAAGTTGCTTAGTTAAGTCTGCTTTTTTAATATGCATAAAAAACAAGGTCTGCAGTACAGATATTTCTCCACACTGACATTTTCTCCTACTGACACTTCTCACAGAATCACAGAATCACAGAAACACTAGGTTGGAAAGGACCTTCAAGATCATCAAGTCCAACCATTAATCCAGCGCCACCATGTCCCCTAGACCATGTCCTGAAGCGCCACATCCACACGTTTCTTGAACACTTCCAGAGATGGCGACTCCACCACCTCCCTGGGCAGCCTGTTCCAATGCCTAATGTTCCAATGTTCTCAACCCACTCTAAGTGGTCTCTCCTACTGGGAAATAAAGAGCCTGACACATCCTTGACTCTTTTTACAGAAGTCCTTTCATAAGTTGTTATTAAGAACAATGATCCCAGGCAGCTGCTTCTGTGATGTCCACTCCTTTGCAAAAACAGCACAGAAGTCAAAAAACCTGAGTGCAGCTAGGACATTTAACTGCTACTGCATAGAAAAAAAAAAATTCCTCTGTTGTCTGTGCATCCCTAGCATTTTTACTGTTGCAAAAAAAAGGGGAGGTCAGAGTCATCAGTGTACTTTACTGTACAGTATTTCTAATAGCTTTACTTACAATATTTATAATCCGTAAAGATTTTAGAACTGCTTGGGGTGAACAACCCATCGCCGTCAGATCAGGATAAATTCCTTCTTCTAACACATACTGATTACCAGAGAATTCTTCCTGGTCATACACTATGCAGCTGCAGGAAGAAGAAGAAATTGCCTCGTAAGAATTCTGTGCAAGTAAAATGATGCTAGTGTTTCTCAGTCTTTAGCAAGAGCTACTGACAGAAACATTATTTACAATGTTTTGTCCTGACAAGCTAAAGATTGATGTGTAACCTGCAAAGCACTGCTCCCTGTAAGTCCCCATATGTGACACCACTTCAGGTGTTAGAAAGCTGGTTAGCTTTTTAAAACTTTTACCATTTTAGTGATTTTGCAATATTAATTCAGTATCACTTACCTGCCATCTAAAATTTTTGAAGACTTCACAGCAAATGAATCAATACATCTTGTGTTTTTTTCAAATATTTGGCAGTTACCCTTGAATTCAGGCTCTGAAAATAACTGGACCTTTAAAAAGTTATAAACATATTTAAAAATAATTCATTCTTCAACCTTCAGTAACATGTCTCTACCCTTACTTCCATAATTAGATTAAAACATGCTTAAAACACCCAGACTTTCTCAGTTATATATGTACTTTTGTTACCTCTTCATTGTTGCAATCCTTGTTCAAGACAGCAAGGTAACAATACCAAAAATTATTTCTAGCTGTAAATCACTCAGTAACATACAAAATAATTAAAAAACGCTAACAAAGATAGAGCCTTGGACTAACTGCTGGGGAAGATTTTAAAATTCCTACAGAATGGCCAGGATAGGCACATCTTTAGTACAGGGCCATAAACAGTTTTGGTTTAGATTATTAATCCATTTCATCTCCAAAGTACATACTGTTCCCACTAAATGAAAACTGTCTCTCAGAACTCTCATAATCTTGGCAGAGTACTCGGACAGCATGCCAACAGGCACGGTATATATTCCCAGGGTAAATGGGCTTTAAGTGCCTGTTACAGCTGTAGTTACAGTCATGTCAGTTCTTTCTCTGCTCGGAGGATAAGACAGGGTACGTCACCCAGAGTCTTTTGTCCTTGTTAAAAAGAAAAAAAATTTCTAAGCAGCTAACCTGCTAATTTGGTTAGAGGATAATTAACCCTGATCACACAGAAGTCATTCACATTATCACATGCCTACCAGCTTTATTCACTCTTAACAGAGATACGAGTGTAGGCATGTACAGCGTTCTCCAAAGAGGAACATGCTGACAAGGGATGCAGTCTGTTGACTACAAGCCATTACTTCTTCATTTCCTTAGGATAAGGTCTTAATAGGCACGTAACATATAGAAAACTTTTCATGCACATTGCTGAAAATAAGCAGCCTTGAGATTTTATTCCCTGTAGTTTATACATTATCCCTATGCAGGAGATTCCAGTGAGGCATGCTACTAACCATGAAAGCAAAATGAGACAGTTAAGACTTTTCTCTCTGGTTTTTAGTTTCATACTCACCGTTTTGACTGAAATGAAAATAAAAGTAACTTTGTACAGGGACAAACACAAAAAGGTTCAGAATTACGAAAGGATGAAAAAAGCCACCCATTAGCCTCACTGTCAAAACTATGTATTAGTACTTGCACATAGGAGACAGTCCAACATAAAAATATGTTAACTTACTGAACAGACAAGTTCTCCCTGCCATTTCCTTCTCTTAGTTATTGACAAAGATGGCATTAACTTTTAAGCACAACTCAGCAATATTTGTGAGTGAACGAGATTCCCTTAAAGTGCAACCACCATTAGCAGAACTGTTAACCAAAGAACTAGGTTCAAAAGGAATTAAGTCACAACTGTACCATGAACAACATCATCTAACTTGTAGAGCCCTCGCCTCAGCAACAGAATCCAGGTGCTTGCACCTCTGCATAGAGGGCTGTGGGCTCCAGCTCCTCAGAACAATCACCAAAACCCAGAACAGCTTACTTGCTGAACCAAAACACTGCCTGTGCCCTGAGAAAGTTCTGATGGCAGCTGCGTATTAAATCCCACCTTCCTTGGGCCTTAATGTGCCTTACTTAAGAGCTTTGGAAAACAGCCAGCCTTCACCATCAGTTCTCACTCGTTGTCTGACTCGTCAACCGTCTATGCAAATATCTGGGTGTTACACTAGACAAAAAGCCATTTATTTATACATGTTACAGACAAAACACAGTATGCTTCATACACTTAGAGAAGTATCTTACCTTGACTTTACCCCTTTCGCTTCCAACAATATCCTGCAAAAGTTTGGAGGGAAAAAGAAAAAGGGAAAAAAAATTTTAAACAATGATAAAATAACAAACATACAAAAATTACTATTAATTATTGTTTAAAGAATGTAAATAAACTGAATTTGATAGAAAAAGTCTAATTCCAAACTTCAGAGAAACTTGCAAAACTAGTATAAAATGAACTCCTTACCATAATGATGGGTTGAACTGAAGATATTTTGCAATTCTTTCCCCCCCATGCCTCAACGCTGGGATAAAGCCCTTTAGCCAGTATATACTGCTCCCCCGTAAACTCAGGATTCTCATAAGCCACCCACCTAAGAGAGACAGAAGAAGAGGGCGAAGGGTAGAAGTCACGCTACTTTTTCAAAATACAATGTGTATGTTCATTACTGTCTTAATGTAAGAACAAATAAGAAATTTCTCCTCTGAAGTGCCAAAAAGTGATGCTGTTAAAAGCCCAAAACCAAAGTTTTTCAACAAACCCAAGTATCTAATACTCTAAAACCCATGCAAATTCCACTGCCACTCATCCTACTATGTTGATATGAATCACAGTGAATTCGCTAAAGCAGACAAGTTCAAATAAATTATCTGCTGAGTATCCTAAAAGCTGTCTCCAGTAAGAATATGTCAAGACGTTTCATAATTCTATTATTTTACCTAGATCAAGTTCTTCTCTAGAAACACAGACAGATAACAGAATATAACTTTTTGGATAAAACTAATTTTCAGAGTCATCTGGGCAGTAAAGATAGGAATACTGATTTTTAATGTTGCCTGTACCTACAATTCAGTTGTGTTTAAGCAAACATACACCCTAACAGAAAGCTGAGTTGCAACAACAGGCATATATGCTAATGAGAGCAGGCTGTTCCCTGCTAGGAATCACAGACATCAGCAAGAAGGACATCCCTGAAAGTTAAGCATTAAAAACCATCACAAATTTGACCAGATTAATGTATTTAAATTCAAAGCCGTTTTTATAACCACTCAGTCAGATTGCATGCCTGGCACAGGCCACAAACTCAGATTTCTGCATCAAGCCCCTAACTTCTGTCTCAGTCAGAATGTGCCTTTTTGAAAGACACTGAACTTTTGAAATACGCACTTGAAGTATTACAAAAGCAACCAAATCACTACATATATAGCTCTCCAACGCTCAATTACCCCTGCAGCACTTTATTTCTAGTCTGAAGTATCTGCTATAAGCTAGTCTTGCTATGCATAGCCTACTACATTCAATAAACCTTCTCTTACGGCATTCTTGTATCCCTGGCTCCATGCTGAAAGCCCAGATAAAGCATTCC